GTGTTCGGCTACTCTATTACAAACTTTGCCAGTAGATTCTACATTCAAAAAGGAACCAAAAATTTCTAATTAACGATGGTACAAATCTCAACATTTTCGGAGTTATTTCACTTTTTCTGATTTTTTAAGATTTTACGACCTTGCTTCAAATAAACAATGATAAAAACTTTTGGACAAATCCGTTGATACCGTTGAAAACTATGTTAAATTTCCAATAAGATGTGATCAATACGAAACTCGTAAACCTTTGTGAAGTAAGAATTTTATTAGGGAGAACTTTAAAAAAATGTTTTTTCAACGTTGAAAAACTTACTATGATGATTTTAAACTACTACTTCCTAACCTAGAGACCAGCAAATTTCAGAAAACGTGCTCGATTTAATATCCGTTTAGTGTGCAATTACTTTTTTAATTACTTTTTGCAAAGATGAAGAAATTAATGAAGGCAAAAAAAAGGATTGGTAAGGTGGAAAGATTAATAATAATAAAAAATAAAAAACTTAAGAAAGTTTTGACTAAATTTATTATACATTTTTTAATTTTGATTCGAAATGCTCTCCACCTTGCGCAATGAATTTTCGACGTGCTGCTGTCGCATTAAACCCGCCAAACCCGTACATAAGATGTATATCAGCGTATTCTTCATTAGAAAAAGCAGCAATAATGTTAACAAGATATCACATAGATAGCTAAAAAAAGTTTTGAATCTTAAAACTCTTTTATTCCGGAGAATAAATACAATAATTCTTTAATCAAAGTTGCAGTCATGTTGGTATAAGTAAACTCTCTATTTCGGATTCGAACCCAAATTAAAAAAAGTTTAATAAATTCATTTAAAATTTCCTGAAGTATTTTTTTTTTAATTTTCCACCTTACCAATCCGTTAGCCACGGTTTTTTCCTTTCCTCCATCAATTTCTTTATCTTTGAAAAATGGAATTAAAAAACAATTACACAAATAAAAAGGATATAAAATGGAGTACGTTTTCTGAAATTTTCTGGTCTCTAGGTTTGGAAATAGTAGTTTAGAATCATCAGAGTAAGTTTTTCAACTTTGAAAAACATTTTTTTAAAGTTCTCCCTACTAAAATTCTTACTTCACGAAGGTTTACAAGTTTCGTATTGATCACATCTTATTGGAAATTTAACGTAGTTTTCAATGGTATCAACGGATTTGTCCAAACCTTTTAGTTTTGAACTTACTATTGTTTATTTGAAGCAAAGTCGTGAAATCTTAAAAAAAGTGGAATAAATCCGAAACTGTTGAGATTCGTACCATAGTTGATTAGGACTTTTTGGTTCCATTTTGAAAGAATCTATGGGCAAAGTTTGTAACCCGAGTTGCCGAACACCCTGTGTAGATGTCTAGATTTTTTCATTACCATCTTTCTTACTCTTTCTTTTTCTCTTTAATTATGTGATTGTCTCTTCTCTTCCAGTCCCAGATATCACTCTCTCTCTCTCTCTCTCTCTCTCTCTCTCTCCCTCCCTCTCCCTCTACCTCTTCCTCCCTCTTCCTCTCTCTATGCATTTTTCTCTGTTTTTCTGTTATTTCGTTTTCTCTCTTTTATTTATCTGTGCCAGAGTAAATAGTTCTATAGAGAGAAAAGGTGTCAATAAATTCACCTATTGAATATAATTTGGTTTTGAAGAGTTAAATATTTTTAAATGTAACGTTATTAAAACAATAATGATTAATTTAAGTAAAACGTAATAGATAACATTTAACCCCTATTTTATATTAAATTATTTAAATAAATTTATTGTGAGGTTTTTGCTCGGGGTTTGTGGAGTGACAAACAAGTAATAAGGCGTTCTAGATTTTTTTTTTCTCGCTCTGCTTATACTAAAAACCATGATAATAGGCAAACTAGGATGATCGAAAACGACCAAACTACACACACACATTAACATTAATCCCAATGTTTTTCGTCATGCTGCCGTTTGTCTCTAAACTTACAAGCATTTCCTGTAGATGCAATTTATTTAAATGCTCGAATCTGAGATACATTTTGTACAGTGACGGTTAGGAACAATAAGCATTGCAAGTTACTTCAGGGAAGTAAAGAGAGAATAGGTAAGTAGATGTATGAGTAGATAGAGATGGAGATGGAGGGCGTAAGAGAATCTTTCAAAACCAACTTCTCAAGACGGTAGTTCCAAAAGAAAAAAATGACTGATGATGAGATAAAGGTTGATTTCGAGGAAGGAAGTAAGGCTTGAAACGGCACGAGCGGTTGCGCGTATTGCATGAATGGATCTGTACAATGGTGAGCTAATGGCCGGCAGTCGTGCTAAGAATATTATAACTTAATGAAGTCTCGGCGTCAGTTCAATGGCATCTTCTATTGTCACATCCACGTGTGTGAAAAGTAAAAAAAACTCCATTCCTCGACGTCGATAGAGGTAAACGAGTTTTCTTTTCCCGAATCTTTCGTCTTTTCTGCACTTACGTGCTGGTAATTCCAATTGTTTCTTAATGGGACGTTTAATTTTGCTCTTTATTTTCCTAAATCGTTACTTCCTTCATTAATTATACGGAAGAGCGATCATAATCAATCATAACACTGTTGACGTAACGACTGCTTCACGCTTCGTTCCTTTGGGAACCCGCCCGAACGAAATATTCCTGCTTCAAGAGTTTCGAAAACTGTTACTTTCTGCCGGTAAATTAAAACAAATTAAACTGATTAAGAATATTGCAAAGATCAGTCAGAGGAAATGAAGAAATGAGACAAATTACCATTTAGAAATTTCACTTTTATTTAAATGTTGCACTAATTACTGTAACTGTAACTATAGAAACTTTTACTATTGCAAGAAAAACCGATTTTTTTAATAGTAACTTAAACATATAAATTTAAATTATTAATTAGGACTTTCACCCCGAATCTAAATTATAATTTTAAATAAAACATCAGGGATAAAGCCAATTTCATCGAATATGTCCCGTCCATTCTGTTTCAGAATTAGAATTTCCACCTCGTTATGCTGTACAATATAGCCAAAACACCTACCCATTTAACTAACCCATATATGCATATCATAATAATGTAATATAATATATATATATATATATATATACTTAAAGAGGAAAACTTGTAACTATAGAAAGTTGAAAAATTTATTCATTTATATGATATGAGAATGGTGTTTGAGCACGGCAGCAAATATCTGGGACCCCCTATTCCAATTCTTGGAGGAAAAAGGGTTGTTTTATTGCTCATAGTAATGTTTTGTATCCCTAGCTTGTGGTGAGATTGAATGTATTTATTGGCGTGAATGTGTAGTGTGAGAGGGCTGATGGAGGAATAATGAGTCGACATCGACCCTAAATTAAGTTAGTTATGTAATATGTGTAAAAGGTGATGGAGGAATTGAGTAGTACTCCACTACTCTAAGTGAATGGTATGTAAATTAGTAAGAATGTATTTAAGTTTGAGTGAGAGTGTGAATGGATTTAGGAACTGATTACGTTGGGGAAAAAAGACCTAGCTGACCTAAAATGACATATAATATTAATTTGATTGACCATGTCAGGACATTTCTATATCAATAATATAATCTCCACAATATCCTGTACAATACGTCCAATACCTTAAACTAAATTTACGAAAATATTGTAAGATTTACATTGAGAGGACACCTTTAGTTACTATAGAAGGTCGAATTTATACTAATGGTTAGTTATTCATTATTTGAGTACACACCTAATACACATGCATATTACATGTGTACACCTAATAACATACATAGTACACCTAATATCGATAGTGAATTATAATTTAATAATTGCTGAGGATTTAAATGTACACGTATTGATGCAGTAAATAGATAGGATGTGTCCCACATAATAGAGGCGTGTCATGCCCTGGCTCCTCCAAACAGAGAGTGTGGAGGCATGCCGCCGGATTTAAGAATGGTTTTCAGACACGGTAGCGAGCTTCCGGTCCCCTGTTCCGCTTTTTAGGGGAATTGGGAATTTTTTATTGTATATAGCTGTCAAAATATATATTTTTTGTTTCTGTGTTTTGTATGAGTGAATGTATTTATTAGAGTGAAAGGGGAGGGGCTGATGATGGAATAGCAACCCATCACCCCTAAAGCTGTGTACGTGACTTGGGTATGGCTGAATATTTATAAAAGTACCCCATCGACCCCAATTAGATTAGTTTGTTATTGTATACAGGTTGATGGAAGAATATTAAGTAGTCAATCTACTAAATAAAATAAATGTAATGTATATAGGGGGTGAATGTATTTATTTGTGTGAGTGTGTGTTGTTGTATTTTGCAAGGACTGAAATGACCAAGCTGTCGGATGCACCTAAAAAAAGAGAGAAAAAATATATAAATATGTTTAGATAGATAAATAGATAGGCTCACTGCCTGAGCTGTCTGGGATAATCGCATGGAGGTTATATGTCGTCATTTATATTTTTTTTATACGATGAATGAAGATTATGATTGATCTCAATTACTGAAAATTTATCTCGTAGTTTCATTATCCTTGCAACCATAGGCTTCCATATTGTAAATAGATATTCATATTTGTTTACCTGATAAATGAATAGTAATAGTTACAAATAATAGTTCAATATATAGCAATAGTTCTTTCAAATTGGTTTTCTCCCTGATTTTTAATATAAAATTATAATAATGAAGGTTCATATTAATAATATGGGATATAATTTCAATTATTATCTTTCCATAATAATAACTAACTGGAAGTATAAATTATGTTTTTGGTTGGTACTACCTTTAAGTGTTAACACTAAGTCTGTCTGTTCATTGATTTCGTTGTGAAAACATGCAATCGAAAAATAATACCAACGCCCATCCTTATTAATGTGTGTATAACAAAAGAGCGATATCTCGAACGGGTCCCCTCGCAGTTCGAATCCAAAGAAATGGTCAAAAGTCTTTCGCGAATGTGGGGGATAGCCTAGGGAGGAAACGGTCGAAGTCCCCACTCCCGCGAAGAGAGCAACTCTCTCGTGAAAGACATTCTGTGTCAGGACTCCGTTCAGTGCACAATGAGTACCACATAGCAGTGCACCCCGGTGGAAAAAGAAGTGACTTTTCTGTGTGAATTAGTGAGACTTTAGCACCGTATCAGTGACTCATTGCAATGTTACAGCCGAGATCCTGTTGGATCGCAGCCGCCCTTCTGCTTGCAGTGTTAGCGAAAGGTAGGCACGCCTGCAATAGCGAACCTGTTTTTTCCCATCTGCTTTTTAAACCATTAACTCGTTCATTTCAGATTAGATAATTTGTTATAAATCCCACCAGCCATCTTAACTTGACTTTACAATGACCGTACCCCAGAACTGTATATAGAACATACTCTTTACGTACACATTGATATTTAAACTGATGTAATGAATAAGGAGAAAGATAATGAAAGACTTTTTAGAATCAAGCTTTATGATAATCATAAATCATTTAGGTCTGTGTTTATTTAATAGATATTTCTTCATTTCTAAAAAGGACATTTTTCTTACATTATACTCAAGTTTTATTTATTGTAATAACAGGATTTTTAATAAGGTAATAAAGGCTAATGTTGATAAGGATAACTCCTCCATAAAAAGAATAAAATATATATATATATATATATATATACACAAACTACAATTTGAAAAAACTCAATTAATAAATGTAATACATTTTCGCACTCAACAAGTGTCAAGTGATGTAATTATACTGATGTAATTGTCTTCTCCAAGCGTGAAAATTGTGCGATGTGTTAGAGATATGAGTTGGCGTGCAACTTCGCTCTTCTGCTGAATTAGATGTATAATTTAATTGTATCAGATTTCTTTACGACCTCTGCCAAGTTTCTCAAATCCGGTTGACATTTCACAGAGCCAGTTCTCCCACTTGAGTTTTCACTCAAATCGGCCGGCTCGGATAAGGGCAATGGCAGTAAACCGATATACAATTGAGCCATGGGCCACTGGGCGTTCTCGTCTTTCTCCTTTTTTCCTGCTTCGAATCTGTGCGATCAGGAGGCTCTTCTCTTCCTGGCCTATATTCGGATCTATGCGCCTCTCACTTCAACGGGAAACTTGTGTAACGACGGTCTAATTAAAAATTGTAAAGAACGAGATCTCACAGTTTTCCAGGACTCTTCCCACAGCCCCTCCCCTTACACAACTCTTACAGAACTTTGCAAAAAGAGCAATCGATCGTGCTTATACGCTTTGAAAAATTGATCCGTACGAAAAAAAGCTTTCCATTTTTAAGTTTACAAATAAAATGATTAAACATAATAATTATAATATCTCTGAATCGTAAGAAAGCTATACGCATTAACTTATTGTCGGAAACTTCAACGCCATAAGACAGTATGTGGCAGTTTGAAATGAACATCATGCAATTTTTTGTCTTTGTGTAGCTTTAGATCCCTTGTGTTTTAAGGTATAATAATATACTGAATTATTCACACTATTATGCCATTAATGGCCTTTTTAGAAAACATGTATGAGATTTTCTCACTTGGAGCACTAAAAAGAAAGTACTCGATTAACAAGTCAACAAATAAAAATAATTTAAAAACGTATTATTATAAAACTTATTTTTCTCAAGTACGTCGTGTTGATATATTTGTTCACATATTTACAAACTTGGTTTTTCTATATTTTGATAGTTATAGTCTGAAAAATGTTAGAAATTCTTGTCAAACTGAAATTTATGACTGGGTCAAAATTATTACCTCAAACGGAAACTTCTTAAAATTATTTATCGATTCAATTTATTATTTTCATTATGTACACGGAGACACTTAACTTTAAGCTTTGAACTTATTTCCTATGAAAATGAAGCATCGGTATCTAAAGTTTTTCTCCCAGACAATTCACTATACTCAATCCCTTGAAAGGACAATTTATGACGAATAAATACATTTAAAAATTATTTAATAAGCCGTTTTTATATCTAGGGTGGAAATTTAAACGAGAACAAATGGATAAAACTTTTATCTCGAGCAATATTTTTCAAACCATATAAACCTCAACAAAAGCTGGTTTTTATTTAATTATTATGTTTAATGTGTGTTATTTAGCAACCGGTTGTCCAATAAATTGTTGAATTTGTGAGGAACGGTCAGTGAAATATTTTAGATAAACACCTTTTTCATTTTTTTGCCGACGTTTCTACTTCGGGTCATCTTCAAGGCATAAAGTGAGATGCTGTTCTTATAGTGTCATGTTTGTTTCGTGTGATATTATTGTGATTGTGACTTTTCATACGATACATACATGACAATACAAGAATAGCATCACACTTTATGCCCTGAAGATAATCCAAATAACGGTGGAAACGTCGCTAAAAATGAAAAGGGTGTTTATCTAAAATACTTCATGCTTGTCTGCTCCTCATTCCTTCAACACATTATTATAATTAATTCCTAGCTTTTGCTTAATAAATAAAATATTAATTATTTTCATGGTCATACTATCTACAAATTATCAGTTAATTATAAACTATGATTTTGTAGTCAACAACAAATAAACACAATGTCTTGGTTTAATAATGAGGAAAAGTGGTCTGGTCGTCTTTTACCCCCCTGGTAAGTCCGTTCCTCTTCTGTTTAGTCAGACGGTCGTCGTCTGGTTGTTGTCAAGTTGAATCACCGATGTAATATCTAACAACTTAATTTAGTGAAATGTTAAAATGCGTATGGCCGTTAAAGCGAGGAGGATGATCGAAATTCGGCCAAATCACGTTTCAATTTTAACTGGCCATCAACCAACAGACCTATTAAAAAAGGCCGCTGGAGTTGAACGGGGGACCTCAACTTACAGCAATGAGTGCCGTGTCAACCGTTGCGGCCACCGACGCTCAAAAAAATCTTATTTAATTGATAAAATGTTATTGAACATGTCTAATTGTTTAGTTGCTTTATATTTATTAGTTTCTTATAAGTTCTGGTCCTCCAGGAGATGCGTTTAGAGTTCCAGTATATCTTGGGATCGCCTAACTATTAATTCTCATCGCCTCATTATCTTTAATATGTCATTAAAAACTGTCCTTTTTCAAAAGCTAATAATGATAATAATTATTAAAACTTACCAGTAATTGGCCGTGTTGCAATCCTTTCGAAGGATGAAGGATCAAATTGTGATCTTACGTTCCACTTTGGCCTTTTTATAAAAAATATACCGTTATAACAATTTATCAAAATTCCGAGGGCTTTAATTTAATTTCATCGTCAGCTGTAGAAATATATTTGGAGTTTTATTTGGCCTTATCGCCGGCCAGTTCAGCCATCGAGATTATAATCGGCCGGACCCTCAAACGTCTAATTAAGATTGAATATCTATTTGAAACAATCCGGGACAACCGTTAAAACACTCGGTATTTTATGTGTCCTAACTCGGCTGTGGCTCCCGATCCGGTTTCCTTAAAGAAATTCGGTGGGTCCGCCGAGCCGAGTCTACCTCAAGGGTCTGACCCAGTTTCACCTCCTCCGGGCCACCACCAATTTCCGATTGGCGATTGTGTGAATCCTTTCCTCCGGTTTCCCTTCTATTTCGCCCTTCGGGTAATTAATGATCTAAGAAAATGACAGCCCCGATATAATTACGAATCAAACGAAGTGAAAGAAAGTCGGGTGACAACAATGATCAGACGTTTCGAACAGTCTCTCAAAAGCTATGACCCACTGATTCCATTATGCAAGTGTAATTAGGAGACTAGGTGGAGGTTTTTTCTTCCCATGATGGAATACTTTTTTCTTATTTTAAATACACTAAGCTCTCTCGCACCTTAAATCTTCTCAGTTGCCGACATCGAATCGTTAGCGAATTATCCTTTCACGTTTTTCTTTTAAGTTAACACACGATTTTATCAAAGCGGCAATTAACCCTAATAGTCCATTAGAGTCGATAAAAGACAATGCGTCCAACACCCTCTTTCAGCTCATTGCATAAAATAAATTCATAATTACTCAAAGCACGTCGTCCTGATTGTACAAGGCTTTCTTGGACAAGGGTTTTTTAATGACACCTTGTTTGTTGATTCAGGAAACACATCTTTCACTTTTCACACATTCAAAGAACTCGAAATCTTGCATAACTCCAAATTATTCAAATTACTTTTAAACTTGCCGAAGAGGTGGTCACTTCTCACGTGAGTGAGATCCAGGAGGTAATGGCTCTTTCTCTCCAGACTTGAACCCCCGACCCAACATTTCACTTTCTAAAATTGATATGAAAGCTACCAAAAACAGTATCAAGTGCCGCTAGAATAAACGGGAAAAGATATCGTATGAGAATTCTACAGGGAGACGGTTCTGTTTCTCCACTTAGTTAAATTGCCCATTTATCCTCAGACATTTCCGCTAATATGAAATTTGTTGTTTTTAAATAACAACATCATCAATAATTGATTTTCTAATTGACAAAGGTTGTTAATAAGCAATAATTTGATGACAATTCAACAATTCGTGCCCTATCTAACGCCTCTTTATCCGGATGGCTCCACGTACTTTGCATCTAACCTCGAGCATGTAATAGGAACTAATTACGTTCCAAGCGTCTCTTACACTTGCTCGCCCTCTCTCTTTCTCTCTCTCTCTTTTTACCGGTCGTGTACAAGTGTTATCCGGGGAAAGTGAGTTCTGTGGGTGGTAGAGACTGGCCTACCGTTATCCAAACAACATAACCTACGTATAGATGATATGACTTTTTGTAGCTAACTGTTCACCTGTTTCCTCTTTTCTCGCTGTCTGATTTTAAAACAACCGGCCTTAACATTATTTCTGCGTTTTAGCTCTTCAAATTCTATTAAAAAAATACAAATTTCTCTGTATCATTTTATTTTATTTTTGTTCAAAGATATTAGATTAATTGTAGATTCAACTTTTATATTGAGAATACGTCCAAAGGTGAAAATAACGAAATGACAGAAAGCAAAAGGGGAAACGTTGGAAGCTTGATATGAATCATAAATGCTTAAAAGTTCGTATAACTCTTTGAAGTAACAACCGGGAGAAGATCCTACTTTCACCATTGGTATAATCATTTTCAACCCATTGACCTTTTAACGCACCTGCCATTAAAGAAAAAAAAGAAAAAAATTCAGTACATGTTCTGTAGTCTTCTGTAAAGGGGCGCGTGGAAGTATGTAATCCACCTCTCATTGACCTTGTGATTAATTATAAAGTAATTATAAATATTCAATTATA